GTGAAGTTAATGAGGAGAATTAAATCAGATGAGGATCAGGCAGGACTTCAAAGAGACCTGGACAGACTGGACACCTGGTCCAGCAACTGGCTTCTCGAATTCAACCCTGCCAAGTGCAAAGTCATGAAGATCGGAGAAGGGCAAAGAAGACCGCAGACAGATTAGAGGCTAGGTGGTCAAAGACTGCAAACTTCGCTCAAGGAGAAAGATCTTGGGGTGACCATGACACTGAGCACGTGTCCGGAGGCACACATCTATCAGATAACTGCTGCAGCATATGGGCGCCTGGTAAACCTGAGAATAGCGTTCCGATACCTTAGTAAGGAATTGTTCCAGGCACTGTACTGTGTATGTCAGGCCCATACTGGAGTATGCAGCACCAGTTTGGAAGCCACACGTGGTCAAGCACATCATGAAATTAGAAAAAGTACGGAGGTTTGCAACAAGGCTAGTTCCGGAGCTCAGGGGAATGTCTTACGAAGAAAGGTTGAGGGAAATCGGACTGACGACACTGGAGGACCGGAGGGTCAGGGGAGACATGATAACGACATACAAAATACTGCGTGGAATAGATAAGGTGGGCAGAGACAGGATGTTTCAGAGAGGGGACACAGAAACAAGAGGTCACAATTGGAAGCTGAAGACTCAGAGAGGCACAGGGATTTTAGGAAGTATTTCTTCAGCAATAGAGTAGTCATGAAGTAGAATAGCCTAGCAGGTGATGTAGTGGAGGCAGGAGCCATACATAGCTTTAAGACGAGGTATGACAAAGCTCAGGAAGCAGAGGGAGAGAGAGGACCTAGTAGGGATCAGTGAAGAGGCACGGCTAGGAGCTGAGTTTCGACCCCTGCAACCACAATTAGGTGAGTACACCTCCACACACCTCCACACACCTCCACACACCTCCACACACACACACACACACACACACACACACACACACACACACACACACACACACACACACACACACACACACACATACACACACACACACACACACACACACACACACACCCACACACACACCACAAACGACCACACATCACAAACGACCACACATCACAAACGACCACACGAAAACACAAGTTTTTCATTCTGTGGTGTAAAAATGAAAGGATTGCCAGAGAGCAGGATGGAAAACCAGGGGACTACAGGATGCATCTGGAAAGGAAGACTGGGTAGCAGAGCTCATGAAAGGGAACAAGAGTGGGGAAGGAAGCTAGAAGATCTTAGCAAGAAAATGGAGGAGAGGATAGCTGCAGAGAGCAGGAAAGGTGAGCTACAAGCCACAACAGCAGCTGCTAAGATGCAGAGCTTAGAAGAGGAACTGGTGAATCTGAAAGAGTCTAAATCACCAAAGAGGAGTATGGGCATGAAATCAGAATTGTTACATCAGTCAGAAATAAGGGGACTGTAGGGAATAAAGGAGTTAAACTGTACACAGAGGCTCTATCAGACCACTTTGGTGCCCGGGAAACGACGAGGAGCACACCAGGAACAAATGACCGGACTAAAGAAAATGAAAGAGCTAAGCTACATGCAGAGGTCCTAATAGACCACAGCAGTGCCCAGGAAAAGCTGAGAAAGGAAAATGACAGACCACTGGGCACAGGGACATCAGATAGAGATTAGATTGAAGAAAAGCTGCAGTGGAAGCAACTAAATCGACTCAAGAGATGAAAAGGGAAATGCAGTGAGAAAATGACAGGGAGAGGTCAGTCTTTGTTTATGGTCTCCAGGAAGTTGAAGGGGAAACTTAAGAAGTAAGAAGACAGGGTAAAAAGCAATTGAAAGTATCATGAAAGCAATAGGAGAGGACGACATGACCCAGCTGGCAAATTTATTGAGAATATGGGGGTTTGCAAGAGGAAAAAACCGGCCATTCAAAGTGATTTTCAAGGCAGAATCAGCTCAAAACAGGATCATGCAGGACTAAGGGTTATGTCAGCATACCGGAGGGTGTAATTCGACCATGACAGAACTCAAGAAGAAAGGCAGGGAAGGTACAAAGATGCATGGAGGAAAGAGAGACAAAGAGGGAGATGGGCAGAACTCAGACTCAGGAGGAAGGGCAAATAGAACCTTCCTCAGAACCACCTACAGAAGGCCCTCAACCATGACATCCCCAATGCAACCAAACAATCTAACCCAAAACTCACACACCATACCCACTGTCCCCACCCCTCTCATCACAAACTCCACCTTCACAGCAAGCCCCATAGTTCCTTGCCAGGTCTCCTGCTTCCCCAACCCAAATGTACTCCCCAGACCACAGTTTTAGAAAAGAAGTTTGGTATATGAATACAGACGGAATAAATAAATGTGAGGAGTGGCATGAAATAATCAAGGAGATGTCCCCAAACATCATATTACTCACAGAAACAAAACTCACTGGGGTGATAACAGATGCAGTCTTCCCACCCAGATATCAGATTCTGATGAAAGATAGAGGGGCAGAGGGGGGGGGGCGTTACACTGCTTATTAAAAACTGATGGGGATTTGATGAAATGGAAGGAATGGACGAAATGGGCGAAAGGGACTACATAGGTACAATTCAGTCTGGCGGACGTAAGGTAATCATTGCAGGAGGCCAAGAGAATATGAAAAGAGCAACAGAGCAATGGTGGACACACTAGCTGAGGTGGCCAGAAAAGCTCAAACAGGTAGAGCAAAATTACTAGTTAGATAAGATAAGATTTCGTTCGGATTTTTAACCCCGGAGGGTTAGCCACCCAGGATAACCCAAGAAAGTCAGTGTGTCATCGAGGACTGTCTAACTTATTTCCATTGGGGTCCTTAATCTTGTCCCCCAGGATGCGACCCACACCAGTCGACTAACACCCAGGTACCTATTTGCTGCTAGGTGAACAGGACAACAGGTGTAAGGAAACGTGTCGAAATGTTTCCACCCGCCGGGAATCGAACCCGGGCCCTCCGTGTGTGAAGCGGGAGCTTTAGCCACCGGGCCACCTGTTATGGGTGATCTCAATCACAAGGAGATTGATTGGGAAAACCTGGAGCCACATGGGGGTCCCAAAACATGGAGAGCCAAAATTATGAATGTAGTTCTGGAAAACCTCATGCATCAACATGTTAGGGACACTACCAGACTGGACCTCATATTCACCCTGAGTAGCTTGGACTTTGAGGACGTTACATATGAAAGGCCCCTCGGAGCTAGTGATCATATGGTACTGAGCTTTGAATATATAGTAGAGTTACAAGTGGAGAGGGTAACAGGAGTAGGATGGGAAAAGCCGAACTACAAAATGGGGGACTACACAGGTATGAGGAACTTCCTGCAGGAGGTTCATTGGGAAAGAGAATTGGTAGGAAAATCAGTAAACGAAATGATGGACTATGTGACAACAAAATGCACGGAGGCAGAGAAGAGGTTTGTTCCCAAGGGTAATAGAACTAATGGGAAAACTAGAACGTGCCCTTGGTTTACCCAAAGTTGTTGAGAGGCAAAAAATAAGTGTGCTAGAGAATGGAAAAATTACAGAAGACAAAGGAAAATAAAGAGAGCAGTCAAAAGCCAGAAACGAGTATGCACAGATAAGGAGGAAGGCCCAGCGACAGTACGAAAACGACATAGCATCGAAAGTCAAATCTGACCCGAAGCTGTTGTATAGCCACATCAGGGGGAAGACAACAGTCAAGGACCAGGTAATCAGGCTGAGGAAGGAAGGTCGGGAGCTCACAAGAAACGACCAAGAAGTATGTGAGGAGCTCAACATGAGATTTAAAGAAGTATTTACAGTGGAGACAGGAAGGACTCTGGGAAGTCAGAATAGAGGGGTACACCAACAAAGGATACAACAACAAGTGCTGGATAAAATGCACACAACCGAGGAGGAGGTGAAGAAGCTGCTAAGTGAACTTGATACCTCAAAGGTGGTGAGACCAGACATTTCTCCATGGGTTCTTAGAGAGGGAGCAGAGATGCTCTGTGTGCCACTAACAGCAATTTTCAGCACATCCATTGAAACTGGGTAACTGCTTGAGGTATGGAAGATGGCAAATGTAGTCCCCGTTTTTAAGAAAGGAGACAGACAGGAGGCACTAAACTACAGACCTGTGCCACTGACGTGTATAGTATGCAATGTCATGGAGAAGATTATCAGGAGAGATTGGTGGAGCACCTGGAATGGAACAGGCTTATAAACTGATATAGACTGTTATGCCAAAATGCGGCTTTGTAAAATATAACTTTCATATTTGTTCTTCTGTCTAACATTACATTGCGATTATCCTCGCTAATAGCTAAAATGACGTTAATCAGCTTTACAATATTATATATTCATTTTCTTCTTTCCCATTATCATTATACGTATATATTTATATGATGAATTATTTTGGTTAGGAAATGGATCGTTCACCATGGGTGACAACCAATTAATGATTGTGTGTCCATTCACCTCTGCACTACTCGCCTGACGCGAGCTGACGTCAGGTGTGAGTGGTGTGGGTTAGGGGGAACGACACCTCTCTCGGTCTCGAGAAGGTCTTTCTTGCTTGCTCAATTACTTTGAGCAAGTATAGTATTTTTCTTTCAGTCTGTAGAAAGTGCGAGTACTTGTGACACTTTCACTTGGTAGAAGCTCTCCTGTGTTTAAGAGACTTTCATTACTCTGGTCGGATTATAAGTTGTTAAACTTTGATCTTCTCTGGGCGTAGAGACTCTGTAATTTTATCAGTTCTATGTATAAAGACCCGTTCAGCCATAATGGATGTCATTGTAAACTGTATATAATTTATAAGTCTGTTAAGTGTTTGTATCTAATTAATAAGTAAAAGGTATTATTAAAATACCTTAAGACCATAACGTAATATACGTTATATTGAAGATATATTTTACGAAGTTTTTATGTTCTCCTCACTTACATCATAAATTATTACGATTTGTTCACGGATATGTGAATAAACCCCTAGATGCATGCCACATATCCTACATCAATTCGTAATATAGACCAAAAGGTATGTGTGCTCGTATCCTTCTACCTGGTGGAAGCGAAGCAGAGCAGGGAAAAGACGAAGGCTACAAGACACAAATGGTTAGAAACATAGATAAGACATAATAAAGCAGAGAGCTACGTACGGTACTATAAGAGAGAGAAGGGTGAGAGACAGACAGGAAAGCAGGAATAAAGACAGGAAGGAATGTAGGCATGCAGGTTTTAATTCAGGTAAACGGAGAGAAAAGCAGTTAGATAGGGGAAAAATGGAGGTAGGCAGGCAGACAGATAATTCCAGTACCCACTTTTATGCTTCTTTATGCAACACCAGCACCCGTTTCCAGAGCAGCCATGGGCTATTGCTTCCTCGTGAGGTCCCTCACAGTGCGTCCTGCAGACTCCTCTTTTGTGCTCGCATGATTCCAGAGCTCTACAACCTTGACCATATCTCTCATTCAAGGTAATGTTATCTGAAAAAATGAAACCCAACAGTCATGACATGAATCCGAAAAGAAATCAGCAAGTTTGTTTTAGTTTGTTAAAGAAATTAACAGAATCCACACCCGTTGGTAAATCCATAAACTGTTCGACTATGCTGAAGAAATAGTGGCAGTGATATTTTTTTTATTATGTGAGTAAAAGGGCACTCTGTAGTTGCAAGAATATCTCTTCATTGATAAACTCTTATATATCATATTGATTTAAGAAAGACGATAATATATACAGTTTTAAAACAAAGCACATTTTAGCGACCCAAGTCTAGAAAGAGAAAATGAAATCACGAGTCAAAAATTAGTTTTCGGAGTCAAAATAGTAATAGTCACTGTGCCTTTTTTGTTTTTAGATAGAAATAAAAGAAAAATAATTTTGAACAGACAGATATGATAAAGTTTAGAAGAAGAATAAACATCACTTGATACATATAAAATTGAAACTAGTGTGAAAATAGAATGAATGGAGTACACTGAGGCCAAACGTCCCTCCTCAACTTTGCCTCTTTTGTTGTACAGTTTTATAGTCTGATAGTTCTGTGTATCATCTGTGAAACACTGCCACAGCCCCTGTAGCTTGTGTTGCGTTCGTGGCAAATTACCATACATCAGTAGTCTGATGCTTTATGCGAGATATATTTAACATATATATATTTATATATATATTTTATATATAAAAAATATTAAAATAAAAATATATATATATATATATATATATATATATATATAATAAATATATAAATAACCTTACTCTTTCCTGTAATTCACCTTTAAATTTTCTTCTTTTGCACACCCTACCAAATTCATCCACCAATCTCTGCAACTTCTCTTCAGAATCTCCCAAGAGCACAGTGTCATCACAAAGAGGAGCTGTGACAACTCCAACTTTGGTGTGATTCTTTATCTTTTAACTCCACGCCTCTTGCCAAGACCCTCGCATTTACTTCTCTTACAAAACCCCCTCTATAAAATATTAAACAACCACGGTGACATCACACATCCTTGTCTAAGGGCCTACTTTATAGGGGAAATAATTTCCCTCTTTCCTACATACTCTAACTTGAGCCTCACTATCCTCGTTAAAAACTCTTCACTGCTTTCAGTAACCTACCTCCTACACCATACAAATTGCAACATCTCCCCATTGCCCCCTATCCCACCCTGTCATACGCCTTTTCCAAATCCATAAATGCCACAAAGACCTCTTTACCTTATCTAATATGTTCACTTTTTATTTTTACTGTATTATATAATATATTTTATAATATTATATATTATATATATATATTATATATATTATATGTATATATATATATATTTATATATATAATAATATAATATATATATTATATTAATTTATTAATATATATATATGCAATTAAGATCCAGTAAACAGGTGATTTCAGAATATGCAAAACAACCACTCTGAAAGAATAGAGAAATTCCAAGCGCTTCGTGACTACCCATTTCGTGAGTAGTCACGAAAGCGCTTGGAATTTCTCTATTCTTTCAGAGTGGTTGTTTTTTCAAATATATAAAATATATAATATATATATATATAATATATATATATATATTATATATATATATATAATATATATATAATATATATAATATATATATATAATATATACTATATATAATATACATATTTATAAATATTTAAATTTAAATATATTTATATATATACATATATAATATATATATATTTATATATATATATATAAATTTATATTTATATATATAATATTTATATATATATATATAATATTTATATAAAATATAAATATAAATATATAATAATATATATATAAAACTAAATATAATATATAAATATATATATATATATATATATTTATATATATATTAATTTATATATATATATATTTATTATATAAATTTATATAATATATATATTATATATTATATATATATATATTTTTATATATATATATATTATATAAAAATATATAAAAATATATTTTTATATATATAAAATATTTATATATATATATATATAATATATATTATATTTAAAATATATATA